ACCATTGCTCTTCAGTACTTTGGAGAGGTCCCTAGCAGCAGAACACTAGATAAAGAAAATCAAGAATATGCAATGGAAAGGCCAAACACAGTCAACAAAAATTTGTTAAAGATGAATTAAGTACCAGCCACTGCTCTAGGCACAAAGCATACAGCTGAAACAAGACAACAATCTTATTCACTACAGGCTTTCATTCTAAATTGGGAGAATAGATATATAATTCAAAAGAGGATTTTGTTAGGCACCTTGGAATCTATTTTGATGATTTTTGATCCTACATGACAAAGTAGAACTGCCCCAAAGAGTTTACGTGGCTTTGATCCTTAGGAGAACAGATTGCTGCATCTTTCTCACAGATAGCCAGTAGGTGGATTCAAACCAGCAACCTTTTAGCTATCAGCTGAATACTTAACAATTACAGTACTACAACTCCTTCAAGAAATTATAATTACCATAAGAATAATAGTAATAAGTTACAGTAAGAAAAATATCGAGAGAAATAGAAGGCACCATAAGTAGTATTTTTGGCATGTTTCAGGACCTATGTTGCTAATAAAGTGATATTTAAGAAAGAATTAAAAGTTGATATATAAGAAAGAATTTAATAAGTAAGAATTGAGAGAGATCCACAGGTTTATCTTGGAAGTTTATTTTAAACACTAAGGAAGACTCTTAAACTAAGGAAAGCCAGTTAGAGGACAGACAGTTATAAACTACTCTTGTATAAAGGGTGGAGGCAGTCATCAGAAAAGAGCAAGGAGACATTACATGGTTCAAAATCAAGAAGGGGGTTCATCAGGGATGTATTCTGTCTCCATGCCTTTTCAATCTGTATGCAGAACAGATCATCTGAGACTCTGGGCTGTATGAGGAGGAATGTAGCATCAGGATTGGTGGAAGGGTCATCAACAACCTGCATTATGCAGGTGTCACACCCTGCTTGCTGAAACTGAGGAGGACCTGAAGCGCTTGCTCCAGAAGGTCAAGGACTGCAGCCTCCTATATGGATTGAAGCTCAACATCAAGAAAACAAAGATTCACACCACTGGGCCAATTGGCAGCATCAGTATGGATGGTGAAGAGATTGAGATAGTTAATAATTTTCGTTTACTTGGCTCCACCAATCAACACTCTTGGTCACAGCAGCCAGGAAATCAAGAGACGAATTGTGTTAGGAAAGTCAGCTGTAAGGGACCTCTCAAGAGTACTGAAGAGCAACAACATCAGGCTGGAGACTAAGGTGCGCCTGATCCGGGCCATATGTGCTATGCATCAGAGAGTTGGACCGTGAATAGGGATGCTAGAAAGAGAACTGATTCCTTTAACCTGTTGTGCTGGAGAAGAGTATTGAATATACTATGGACTGCTAGGAGAACAAACAAGTTTGTCCTGGAGAAGGTGAAGTCAGAATGCTCCTTGGAGTCAAGGATTCTGAAGCTTCGTCTGACATACTTTGGGCATGTTACAAGGAGGGACTGGTCCTTGGAGAGGGACATCATGTTTGGCAGAGTGGAGGGGCAGTGAATGAGAGGAAGACCTTCCATGAGATGGATCAGTTCTGTGACTGGAGCGGTAGAAATAAATGTGTTTGGGATGGCTAGGTTGGCACAGGATAGAACGACGTTTAGAGCTCTTGCACATAGGGTTGCTATGAGTCGCAAGTGACTCGATGGCACATAACAACAACAAGTGGTAAGAAGCTGCTGCACTGCAATCTAAAAGCACACTGTGCAAATCCACCAGCTGCTCCATGGGAGAAGGACGGGCAGTCTCCTTCTGTGAGATTAACTACCTCTGAAAACCTGCTGGAGGGTCAGCTGTAGATTGTTTCCCACTTGATGGAACACAGCAACAGGAAAACACTAAGACTCTTATAGAGGAACTTGCCCTATTTAAAAAAAAAATCAAAGAGCCACTGTGAGAGTAGCAAATGAATAGTTAAATATGGATGTTGGAAGAGGACTGAGTCAGATCATGTAACAGAAAATATTTTGGATATTACTTTATATCCAATAAGAGAGTAAGAGAAAAGCCTTTACAACAGTGGCTCAGTAATGTTTATACATTAATTGTACCTGTCAGTGTTTATCATATTAACACTCAGAAAATGTTCACATATTTACTAATATACTTAAAATAATATTAATAAATTACATATTAATATATAACATGACTTTTTGAAAAATAATTTTCTAAATAATGATAATCTTAGTGAAAAGTATGAAATTGTTCTCTTTGATGTCCATAGAATAGGAATCAACTAGATTTGTATATCTCATTTTGCAACCATTCAGTTATAACGTAATGTTTTAGTTGAAATATTTAAAGAAAATCTAGCCTTACAAGGATATGTAGTAAGAAAATGGGAAAGTATTTTAATGGCTTTTTCAGATACTATGATTATTCTTCTTTGATCCTATGCAATGCTTGACAACTCATATTTCTTATAGATTATTGCAGTGTGGACTCAAAAGCCTTCTCAGTGAGCTCTTCATACCTTTAATACTTTTGTTGTTATGTGCCATCAAGTCTACTGCAGCTCCTAGCAACCCTTTGAACAATAGCCCTGAACTCTGTCCTATTCTGCACTTATCTCACTATCTCTGATACACCTATTTCCTTTACCCTGGTTACTATGTCAATCCAGATGTTCCTATCCTTTGCTGACCTTCCATTCTTCCAAGCATGGTGTCCTTCTCCAAGGCCTAGTCTCTCCTGGCAACATGCCCAAAGTATGTGAGATGGAGCTTCAAAATCCTGGCCTCCAACAAGCAAACCAGTTTCACCCTCTCCAGGAAATACCTTTTTATTCTCTCGGCTGTCCACAGTATGTTCAGTACTCTACTCCAGCACCACAGTGCAATGACATTGATTCTTCTTCTGTCGTCGTTAGTCATTATCCAGCTCTTGGATGCAGAATGAGTAGTTTCAAAGACCATGGCCTCAGTCAAGCACACCTTGGTCTCTACACTTACATCATTGCTCTTCAGCACTCTATAGAAGTCCTTGACATCAGACTTTCCCAATACAACTTGTCTTTTGATTTCCTGGCAGCTAGTGCCAAGAGTTTTGATTGTGAATTTGAGCAAGATGAAATTGTTAACAGTCTCATACTTTTCTCCACCTATCATGGTGCTAACATTTAGCCCAGTAGTGAGAATCTTTAACTTCTAGATGTTGAGCCTCAATTAATGTCGAGCACTGCAGTCCTTGCCCTTCTGCAACAAATGCCTCAAATCCTCCTCAGTTTCAGCAAGTGTGGTTGTGTCATCTGCATAAC